TAGTCATTACAGGGTAGTACAGAGATTGCTAAATGCTATTTAGGCCTTTTAAGTCTTGAGAGTCTCAAAACTTATTTGAGGATTTTTTTTTTTAACCGTTCGGCTTTTGAAAAAGAAAACATTACCCCAGAAACCTCAAGGTTAGCTTATAGAGTTAAAAACATTATGCCCAATGGGAATCATTTTTAAATCCATGTGCAAGGAAATTAACAGTGATTCCTGACCTGCAGATGAAATTATCCAGTGAGGAAAATTCTATAGCATTTTCCTATGAAGCAGTGCCATAGAAACTAAGCTGTAGATGGCACTGAGGGTGCTGCTGCGATGAAATCCTCACAGTTCATGGGAGAGACCTGGGTTTGATCCTAGTCAGTGCACCTCACGGCTGGTAGTCTGTGTGGTGCTATGATGCTGTACAGCAGAACTTCCAGACTAAGGTAGAAGATAGGTCTGGAGATGCACTTCCAACACACACACACACACACACACACACACACACACACACACAGAGCAAATAAGCTTATTTCATATCAAATAAGCCAGTGAAAATCCAGTGGATCAAGTAGTCCAATCCAATTATGCTTGGAATCATCGTAAGTCCGAGGTAACTCAATAGCAGCTGAAAACAACAACAACATAGAACCAGGTTTTTGCTCTTGACTAATTCAAAGGGTCCAGGGAGTGTCGAAGCAGACCTTCTGCAGCCCTACAGCCATCCTCTCCCTAACTCTGCCAACATCTGCCTGAAATTCCTTCACCTCAGGGCAAGACCTTGGATTCCACAACTTCAAAAGACAGGTGTTCGTACTAACAACTCCTGGAAGAAGCAGCATATGGTCACAAATTGATATGCAGTGCGTTGCAAACAAAGGTTTACGGGGTTTCCAAAGCTATCATCATGGAAGCCGACGACCCATCCTTCTCCCTCCGAATGACTTCTCCCTCTGATGGGCTCGGATTCCCAGACTTTCAGCTTCCAGCTGAGCTTTTACCCACTGAAACCCTTTGTTCTCCCTGGGATCCTTACAGAGGGTTTTTCCGGTGGTTGGAAGTGGGGTGGGAAAGAGAACTGTGACAGGATCTGAGGAGTCAAAGCCAAAGTCACAATAATTTACATTCCTCCAACAGAGTTGTTCTAAGATTT